GAGGCGCCAACGAGCGAGGAGCCCGCTCCATCAGAGGGACGCGCCGCTGCGAGATGGAGGGCGGCGGTGACGGAGGCAAGGCGCGAGGCGGCGGCGGCGGCGGCGGAGGCGGCGGAGGCGGCAGCGGCGGCGGCGGCGGCGAGAACGGCGGCACCGAGTTGTCTCGGTGAGCGGAGCGGCGGCAGGAGGAGGAGCAGCTCGCTGTTGAGCGCTTTTGAGCCTGGGAGCCCATGCCACTGCGACCGGCGTGCCCGGGAACAGAGATCGCGCGCGCGCCGCCACTCACGACGCGCGCGCGATCTTCGCGGAGCCGGGTCCCCAGAGGGAAGCGGTCTTCTCGGCCGACGTCCAGCGGCGCGCAAGGACAGGCGCAGCGGTGCACCGCGCCGCGTTGATTCGCGACCACCGTCGGCCGCGGACGGCGGCGGCGTGGCGGCTGCGGGCGCTCGCGAGACGCGCCGCTCTGCTCTGGTACGGTTCGTTCGACTCGTTGTGCCGCCACACGCCCGGCGGCCGCGGGTCCCAGAAGTGGTTGCGCGGGCCTCTTCCTTGCGGCCGCGGGACGGCGTCGGGCACGTCGTCGGTCGCAACAGATGCGCGGCGAAAACCGCGGCACGTCGTTCCTGGCGCTGGTGGTTTGAGGTCGGCATCGTCCAGAGCTCGGTCGACGAGTCGAGAGCTTCAGCTGGCCGAGGGGCGAGGGTGCCACCTTTGTGCTCTTTGTGCACGAAATGGGAATAAGAAGCGGCCCCCGCGAGCGTGGAATAGGACCGCCGCAAGCGGCGTGGCGTGGAGCGGTTGAGCATCCCTCCGGGGGCCCCTCTGCGCCGGGGAGGCGTTGTTGGCGGCTAGGACGCAAGCGTCCGTCGCCGTTTTCAAACTCGGGTGCCTCCCACTCCGCTACGCTCCGACCCGAATTTGGAGGGCCATGAAATTTAAGGTGTTGCTGCGCAAAAGGGGTGGCGCGCGGGCGGGCGCGCGCGGCGGCAGGCGTCGAGCGCGGAGCGGCAAACACAATGACGTCGGAAAGCTCTGCATCAAGTATACAGTAGGCGCCAGGACGCGTGTGAGCACGTCGACGTCGAGCTCGAGCTGCTTGAGGGCGGAGAGATACGCCTGGGAGGGCGGTGAGGTGGCGGGGCTGGGCTGGGCGCGAGGCGAGAGGAAGGGGGAATGGGGAGGGGGGGAGGGGAGGAGGAGAGGGGAGGGGGAGGGGAGGAGGGGAGGAGGGAGGGGAGAGGAGAGGCGGGCGGAGTGAGGAGTGAGGGATGGGTCGGGAGGAGTGAGGCAGGGGAGTCGAGGCGGGAGGCGGGAGGGAAGGCGGGCGGGGAGGCGGGAGGGGAGAGGTTCCGCTCACCAGCCTCTCTGCGAGCACCGCCTGCTCCAATCACCCTCTCGTGCGCGACCGCCGTCTCAAACTTCTCGCGCGCCTGCGCCTCCAGGAGGGCCGCTGCCTGCTGCAGCTGCGTCGAGTGCTCCGCGCTCAGCTGCTGCAGCTGCGCTGAGTGCGCCTCCGCCGCCGCCGCCTGCTCCTCGCGGAATCGCTCGACCAGCTGCGCCTCGATCGCAGCCTTGGCCTCCTCGACCGCCGCCGCGCTCGCCGCCTCCTGCCGTCGCATCAGCTTGACGAGCTTGGCGGCGTCCGCCTCCTCCTGGCACTGCAGCGCTTGCTGCAGCCGCGACGCCTCCGCGTCCCGCGACTGATGCGCCTTGAGCAGCTCCATCAGGTGCGTCACCTTTCCCTCCAGCTCGGACGCCGCGGTGGGAGCCGGCGGCGCGCCGTCGCAGCGCGCCGGGGCCGACGGCGAGAGCCTGTGGAGGAGCCGGTGGAGCAGTCGAGACTGCTGACCGCTCCTCCATGGTCCCCCGCCGGTGGACGCCGAGTGCAGTCATCGGTATGCGGGAGGCGTGCTCAAGGGCTGGCGGGGCGGACGCGACGACCTGGCGTTGCCGTCGCGGAGGGCTCGGGCTCGAGTGAGCGCCGCCGGCGACGCGTCGTTGCGGCCGTGGCCGCGCGGGCCACCTGCATCGACGGGCTGCTTAGGGGGGGGGGGGGGGCGCCGAATACCGTGCACGAACTGCGTGATGTCAGCCGTGCAAGCCTTCAGCTGGTGCCAACACGGAGGATTTGCCGACGGATTGGCCTCGCCGTCGATGAAGAGGCTGTGCCGATAGCCTGCGGCCGCCCTCGCCGGCGGATTGGCCTCGCGCAGCAGCGCCGAATAGCACAGCCACCGCACGGCGCAGCCCTCGCCCTCGGGTTGCGCCGGCAGCTCGAAGCCGCGCTCTTGCGCCCACAAGCGGATGCCTTCCTTCGCGAGCGAGGCGTGAAAGAGCAGCGAGACGGCCGCGACGCGAGCAATGTCGGCGGGGTCGCAGCGAGAGAGGGCGCGCAAAAGGAGGTCCGTGGGGAGGTCGAGGAGGCGGGCGGGCGGCGTGTGGGGCGAGGGGGTGGACCTTCGTGCGAGAAAAAGAATTTAAGCTCCGCCGCGAATAGAAGGCGAGGCGCGGGCGACGGCTTCCTCAGAAGCCGTCGCCCGCACCACAGGAGCAGTCACACCACTCCCACTCCGGCGCCCACCCACTCCCCACCCCGACATCCCCACCCACCCCGCGAGAAAAAGAATTTAACCCCCTCGCACGACACCGGGTACGGGACTGGCACTACAATCTATCGGTTGCGTATGATTTTTAACAAAATCTCCTGCTCCCTCCCTTTGTTTTGTCCCTTCGGTTGTCCGTTTCATTTTTTCTTTCTCTCACGACGCTGGGCACGGGACTGGCGCGCACTGGCACTTCGGACTGGAACGGGCACGGGACTGCAATGCACTTAGCTCCGTGCACAATGCCGCACGTACGAAAAGAAACGACTGAGGGCCGGCGGGCGCTCTACTCCCCCCCCCCCCCGCCCCCCTGGTCCCCGCCGCCTCGCAGGGCGCTGCACGAGACGCCGCTCATCGCAAACACGATCGCGCGCATGAAGCTGTACGAAATGAACTCGGGCATCTCCGACACGGCCGAGTACGGGTGCTACCTGTACGACCAGCAGTGCCGCCCGCTCCTCACCCCTTCATGGGGAAAAAAAGAAAAACGCTCGGCCCGCAGCACGAGCCGCTCCGTTCATAAGCGGCGATTCTCGAGCTCTTAGGCGACCGTCGGCACCGACGTGATCGGCACAAAGTACTCTGCCGGCCGCGACAATGGCGTCGACAACCGGCTGCTGAACGCGATCAACGAAGAGATCCGCTCGCACCCCGTCGAGGTGACTGGGAAGATAGGGGAAGATAGGGGGAGATAGGGGGAGATAGGGGGAGATAGGGGGAGATAGGGGGAGATATGCACCCCGTTGAGGTGGTTGGCAAGGAGCCGCGTGTCTGCACGACGACCCCTCACCGCTAACCGCTTCTCACACGTCGTCCGCCAGGTGATTGGCAAGGAGCTGCGCGGCTACATGACTGCGATGGAGCGCGCCACACCACTCCCGAGGGGTGGGGGGGGGACGTGGACCCCGCCCTGTTCACACGCCGCGACTGTGAATAGGAGCGCATCTCCACCGACCACGGTGGGCATCGGCACCAAGAACACCTGAGGCGTTACCCGCGGGGCTCGCGGGGGCGCGAGGCGGGGGTGCGGGGGGGTGCCCGGTGCGGGCAGCGCGCCGCGTGGCTGGGAGAGTCTACCGGTCGAGGGAGAGAGGAGCGGCGCGGGGGAGGGGAGGCTGGGGGTACAAGGAGACACCGCCGCCGCTAGCGCCGCCGCCGCCGTCTCGACCTCTCGTTTCTTGATCTCCGCCGGGAGCTCCGAGACGGGCGGCGCCGAGACGGACGACCAGCGAGAGTACACTGGGGGTATACGACATAGCTGTGCGCATGGTATATAGCAGGTAGGCGTAATTTTATGGGTCTCGCCTTACTCCCTCAACAAAGATCTAAAAACGTAAAAGTTACACCGCTGTCTGGACGAAGCACGAACACGATCGATATGCAGGAAGGATCACTTCAGGTGGTGCTCGATATCCCTCGCGGCTCTGCGCCAGCGTCCCGCGTCAAACTGGCAAAAGAACGACCCTCCATCCCGCGTTGTGAAGATATCGTCGTGGTTGCTGCACATTTCGTTCAGTAGGCACACTTCGAGGTAGTAGACATCGTCCTCGGTAAAGTAGCCCTCGCGTGAGTTGAACTCGTCGATGCTCAACTCCCCTGGGGCTTCGGTGAAAATGATCTCGGTCTCGCAACGGCGGCCAGCCTGGCATGCCTCGCCGAGCACAACGCAGATCATCCACTCCGTGTTTCGACACATGTCCCACTTTCCGATGCGCAGGATGTTGAACCCCGCCGATCGGCAGGCGCTGCCCGGGTCACCTCCAGAACCTCCGCGCTGATCACAGAACCTGGTCATGCTCCGCGCAAAGCCAAACACAGTGGGTGCGTCCAAGTTGTTGCCCCAGTCCTGCTGGCATTTGGGCCCTGTGGCTACCCAATCCCACCAGTTAGTGGTCTCGAGTTGCCAGCACGCCCTCTGCCCAGGCCAACGATACTTCCTGTCTGCCCAGTAACCCCACCCAGTGCCCCAGAGGCCCGAGAACTTGTGCTTCGGGTCCCGTATGAGGTCGGAGCACATGCTGCTGCTCATTCGGCCGATGTGGTGGATGGGCGGCGGCGGCGGCGGCGGCAGTGGCGGCACATCCCAGCGCGAGTCGCCATCAAAGAAGGGTCCGGCAGGGCGGCTAAGATCCACGCCGACGATGGGCAGCGTGATGTTGAACTGCTTCTGGAACAATCGGCGGGCCCAGAACGCCAGGGCTTTGCCACCGGGGCGTGAGCGATCCGCCGCCGCCAGTCTCGCTACCGCCTCTGTCGTGTCGGAAACAAAGAAGAAGGCCTCGACGATCGTCGGGAGGGCCGCCTCGCACGCTTTGCCCTCGAGGATAATCTCGTTGTAGAGTTGGCACTTTGGCCAGGTGCAGCAGTCGCAGCACGGGCCGAGGCCGCGTGCTGCGCGCTCCCTTGGCGCGCAGTCACCGCGGCGCTCGAGGTGGTGGCGCAGCATGCCCTCGAGGCCGGCCTTGCCGCGGTAGCCATCGGAGTTCCTGTCGATCCAGTCGGGACAGCCGGGGGTGCACGTGGGTGACACGCCCGGCGGGTCACACATGAACCTCGACGTTCCCACATCCGTCGTGTACGAGCAAAGGATCGCCTCTTGCGCCGGCCCGGGCGCCAGCACCATCCCCGCAGACGCATCGATGGTGCCGAGCTGCGAGCCGTCATTGCCCATGTAGAAGAAGGGGGTCGCGGCGTTGGTCACAGAGACCGACCAGCGATCCCCCCACCCCGGCCTGCTGCTGCCTGTGGCCGACCACGGCGCATGCGCGTCGTCCATGAGGCGGTCGTACTGGTCGAACGCATTCATCACGACACCAGCGTCCGCAAAGGTCGCGCTCGGGCGGCCCTGGGCGAACCGCTCGTTGAGACGCGCCACGACGAGAGGCGCGGGCAGGTTCGGCGGCGGCGGCGCCGACCGCAAGTGCAGGTCAAATGCCGTATCGAACTCGCACAGCCCCACTATGATGCGCGTCTTGCGGTAGCACTTCCCCTCACGGCGCTCCCAAACGACGCCCTCGCAAAACGGCAGCCCAGAGGCTGCCGCGCTCTTGCACGCCGCTTTGCACTCGGCGAGGTCGCGTGCGCCCGGCACGTCGCTCCCTCGCGGCGAGTCCACCTCTTCCGCGCCGTGGCCGTTCCACCAGCAGTTGCGCCGCTCGTGCAGGATCCAGGCGTCGGGGGGGGTTTGAGGAGGCGGTGGCGGCGGAGGCGAGGGCGGTGGAGGAGGCGGAGGGTGCGGCGATGGCGGCAAAGTTGGTGGCGGCGGCGGAGGCGGAGGCGGCGGAGGCGGCAGCGGCAGCGGCGGAGGCGGCGGCGGCGGCGGCAGCGGCGGCGGCGGCGGCTGCAGCGAGTCGGCACGCGGTTGCGACAAAGCTGGTGGCGACGGCTCGGCCCGCTTGAGCAAGCACACGGTGTTAGCGAGCGGCAGGGTGTGAGAGACGCGTGCAGGCGCCAAAATCAGCTCGCATGCCATGTCCATCCTGCCTCGCTTTTTTGGTGTGGATGCGTGCTGCGCTGCCACACACGCTCCGCTAGCCTCACAGAGCGCCTCGCACTCGGAGAGGCTGATTCCCCACAAGGCTGGTGCGCCGCCACGCGCGCCGCTGACGGTACGGCACGCACCGGCGGGCCCTCGAAGCGGCTCGAACGGCATCCTCTGCTTCACGAGCAGTGCGATCCCTCTGTGCGTTCCCCTCACCAGTTCGGCCCCCCCGGCGTTCTGGATGGAGCGTTCCCAGACGCTATTCACAGACGCTATTCACACAAAAACACAAAAACATCGAGAAGGGAGAGACAGCAACGACAAGGCGCGAGACACACACGTTCCCCTCGACTTGGGTTGTAAGCGGGTATTTTCCTCTCAATAACAAGGTCTGTGAACAGGGCTCGCGCCTCAATAATCGACCTCTCAGATGCGATTGATTGATTTATTGATTGATTGGTTGGTTGATTGACGGGACACCAACCAACGCGGGACGGGCGGTGACGGTCACACAGGAGCGACACACAGAAAGAACCACCATTGATTGATTGATTGATACTAGAAGACCACCGAAACCCCCCTGCCTGCTCTCTGGAATTCGCGGAGCGAAGAAAATTTTATACGGAATACGTCGCTTTTTGGGCCTCGTTTGGAAGAGAGAGAGATTTTTATTAACCAACAAGAAATTTCGTTCGTTTGGAATACGTATTCTGGAATACGTGTGGAATACGGCCGGAATACTGCCAATACGGGTAGAATACAGCCCTAGGAGGGGTCGATTGGAATACGTGTACTGTTTGTTACTGTTGTTACTGTTGTTCAGCGGCCAGCAAGCAGAAAATGGCAAAAAAAAACGGGTAAACCCCGAAAATACCTGGGATTTTTCAGGTATTTTCGGGTATTACCCGCACTGGACACTAGAGATCGTCGTGGGTCACTGCCAGGCCTTCCTTACTGTTGTTCAGCTGGCCTAACGTTAGCTACTGTTGTTGGGGAGCCCCACTGTTGTTCTGTTGTTACTGTTAACACTAGCAACACTGTTCAGCTCCTAACGTTAGGCAACCCTAGTACCCCGAGGCGGGTGGTAAATATCTTAAAGCCGTACACGTACCCCACCGTTTGATTGTTTTGCTTTTGGCCGGAGAGTGTTTGATTGTTCTGGGGGGCTATATACCCGTAAATCGCCAGCACTGCATTCCCGGCGGCCCGACGGTGGCCGGCGCCGCTTTGCGCGCCAGCCCCCCCGTCCGCTGCCGGATCCGCGGCCGCGGTCCCTGCGTCCCTGTCAGCTGACTGTCAATATGAGCTACGCGCGCCATGCCCATGGGGCGACGTGCCCGCCGCTGCCAACAAGGGGTGGGAGAAGACTGTGGGATCTTGGGTCCCCACCTGCACGAGCAGGATCTTGTAAGGACGATCAGGGACACAGCACACAGGGGAACGACCCCTCTGTGTGACTCTCTCTCCCACACCACGATTTCATGAACTTGCGCAAGCCTGCTCGACCCTACCCCCTACCCTGCACACCCCCACCACAGCAATGTGTCCTTCTCTCCCACACCTAGACTAAGACAGACCGCACCACCACTTAGACCAGGCTCGGCCGGGACGAGAGCGGCGTGTCGTCCTCCTCGCTGTCCACATCGTCCTCGCTGTCGGCCTCGCCGCCGCCGCCGCCGCTGCGGCCCTCGCCCTCTCCCTCGCCCTCGCCCTCGCCCTCGCCCTCCTCCGCGTCGTCCTCTGCGTCCTCCTGCTCCGCCTCATCCTCCGACTCCTCCATCTCCTCCGCCTCCGCCTCCGCCTCCGCCTCCGCCTCCTCCGCCTCTGCCCCCGCCTCCTCCATCGGCTCCGCCCCCTCGGCCCCCTCGCCCCCCTCCTCCGTCGCCTCCTCCATCGATTCCGCCTTCTCCTCCGCCGCCTCCTCCGCCCG